CATGAACCGCAAGATCATGACCTAAGCGAAAGTCGGACGCTCAACCGACTAAGCCACCCAGGCGCCCCAAGACCTTGACATTCTTGAAGAGTACAGGCCAATTGTTTTGTAGTGTGCCCCTTGGTTTTTCCCCGCCCATTACCCCCCAATTAACAAAATCCTATATATGTGCATTATATCAAATTTGGGCAATATAGGAAAGTAAACAAAAATTGCCCCAGCTCTGATGATGCAAGGGTAGCCCTGTAGACATTTCCTGACAATGAAGTTGGCTGACTTCGTTGTTCTGCGTACTCTGTACATTAACTCATTTAACACTAGGAGGCAGGTGCTTTCCTTAGCCCCATTTTACAGCTGCTTCCAGAGATCTTGAGTCTTGTTAAAGATCACATAGTCGGTAGGACTTGAACATGACCTTTCACTTGGCCCTTATGCTACACTGCCTCTCCACAGTTGTTGAGTGTGAGTGTGTGTGTGTGTCTCAACCTTTTATTGACATTTAAAAGTTTTTTCTTAATGTTTAGTTTTGAGAGAGAGAGACCCACACACACAGAGTGTGAGAGGGGGAGGGGCAGAGAGAGAAGTCAGGCTCTAAGCTCTGAGCTGTCAGCACAGAGCCTGACGTGGGGCTCGAACTCACAAACTGCGAGTCAGATACTTAACCAGCTGAGCCACTCAGGTGCCCCTTAACCTTAAATTGGCATTTGGAGCTGGATAATCTCTGCTGGGGGCCGTCCTATGCATTGCAGATGGTAAGCAGCATCCCTGACCTCTGCCTGCTATATGCTAGCATCACACCCACCAAGTTGTGGCCACCAGCACTATCTCCAGACACTGCCAGATGCTTCGTGGGGAGCAAAATTACCTCCAGTTGAGAATCTCATGTGTGTGTGTGTGTGTGTGTGTGTGTGTGTGTTGACCCAGGCCATACTGTGTACAATCTTAAAATTGGATTTTTCAATTATTTTAAAATGTTTATTTACTTTTGAAAGAGACATATATGAGCAGGGTGGGGGTGGTGGTGGTGGAGAGGCAGGGAGAAGGAGACACAGAGTCTGAAGCAGGCTTCAAGCTGTCAGCACAGAGCCCAACATGGGACTCGAACCCACAGACCATGAGCTCATGACCTGAGCTGAAGTCAGGCACTTAACTGACTGAGCCACCCAGGCGCCCCTGCTTTTTCAGTTATTGACTCCATGATCACTTTTGTTCCCTTCCATTTTCTTCTGTCAGTTGAATGGCTGCCAGGTGTTGCCAATCAAATAAATTGTCAATTGACCAAAAGACACATCCAGTGCTGCAGTTGTCTCCTAAGGCCACTGCATCCAATTACCGCTAACTTAGTGGCTTAAAACAACCATTTAATAGCTCATGTTTCTGGAGGACAGAAATCCAGAGTTTCGAATGCTGAAATCCAGGGTTGGCTGGGCTGAGTTCTCAGCTGGAGGCTCAGGCGTGGAGGAAGTCTCCTTTGTGTTTATTCTTGTTGTCCATCGGCAGGGATTGGGATTCCCCGCTGGTTGTCAGCTCTTGGCTCCTAGGGGCCACCATATTCCTTCCACGTGGCTCCCCTCCATCTTTAAGCCAACAATGGCACATTGAATCCTTGTGCTTTGAATTTCTGATGTCCTTCCTCTGTCACCGGTTAGAGAAAAGGCTGCTTTTCAAGAACTCATGTGACTAGGTCAGGTCACTGGGAGAACCTCCTCTCTAGAGTCATCTTGGAACCAAGGGGATGGAGGCCAGGTTAGATGAGCAGAAAACGGAGGCTTGACGCCAGCTCTGGGAAAGGTCCTGCTGCACCCCTGCCCTGGGGGAAGTCCTGCAACATGTACTTCTGGGAAGTGAGCAAGCATGGAGCTTGGACAGACACGGGCCCTCTCGTGTCTCCACCCCCAAGTCCCTTTCCAGATGACCTATCCCCATTGCCTCTACTCAGGGCAGGAGGAAGAAAACACAGGTCGGAAGAATGTTCCAGCTGGGCCAACAGGGAAGTGAGAGGCTGACTGTTGGAAGAGCAGGTTGGCTGGGGCAGCTGCATGGACCACTCAGCTCAGCGGGACCTGCACAGAGACCGATGTGCAGGAAGGAGGAGGGAGGCGTAGGTCAGCAGAGGGGACTGGAGGGTGGCCTCGGGCACCGTATCTGACCGCCACTGAGGTGTGGGTTTGAGGGGCGGGGCCAGAGGCCAGAGGAGCTGGGCTTGTTGTGCCCTGGTGGCCAAGGGTGACACATTGAGACCAAGACTCCAAATCCCTTGTCTCTGACTTTGCCACTGAGCCCTGGCAGCCTCTTAATTGGCCAATGGCCTCCTTGCATCCTCCACGTCCCCTACTGACCTCAGCATCTTCCTGCCATTTCTCCTCCTAGGCCCACCATTTCCATCAGTATAGAGTAAGGAGACCCCAAAACCCTGCCAAGAGACCCCTGATAGTATCACTGTAGGAGGCAGGATTCCCATGGAGTCCCCAGACCCGATGTGTCCACAGCAAAGTCCTGGAGGGCAGCATGGAGGTGGTGCCTGAGTCGTCCGGGGAGTTTAAGGTAAACCCTGCACCCTGCCCTCAGCTAGCTCCTGCCTTGGCAGCCCCTGCAAGATGGGGCGCTTAGAAGCCCAGCAGTGGGTGGAGCTGCTACCAAAAGGCTCTGAGGCTTCTGCGGCTCCAAAGCGCTATGTGGTTGTGTACACAAAGCACCTTCGTAAATATGCGTGCTGGGTCCCCAGGCTGCAGAGCTTAAGGGTACAGTTCACCTGGCCTGCAGCTGGGAAAGAGGTTCCTGAAACCCTCTTCCTCTGCGCTGCCCCCGGGCCCAACCTTGCAACTTCAAGATTAGAGCATGCCAAGGGCAATGTTAAGGTTCCAAAGGCCCAGCTTCTTATTCAGCCTGAGTGACTTCAAACAAGGCACTCAGCAGCCCTGGGCCTTGCTTGGGCTTTTCTCACTGAGATTTGAAAGCAGATATCCTGACACTCTGTCGTCTCCAAGTTGGGCCAATCACGGCCATCGGATACACTTCCAGGTCCAGCAACTCTCCCCAGGACCCCAGCCCCATGGTCACAGGCACTGCTGTGCTCTTGAGGAGAGTCTCCATGGCGTGCAGAAGATGCCTTGTGGCCCAAGCCGGAGCCCCCAGCCTGCAGGGGAACCGAATACCGACTTCCTCATCGCTTGACCTTGTTTTGACAAAACTTATCTATTGGCCAAATCTATTCCTCCAGACTGCAGGGAAAGCTGTGTCTACACAGACGCATGTGGTTTGGGTTTTTCCCAGCCTCATTCAGACCCTTCTCTAGACCAGGCCATTGTGGGACGAAGCAGCTGGCTTCGAGGGAAAGCAGATAACCCCCTTCTGCTGAGAGCAGTCTCTGCGGCTGTAGGTGTTTGCTTCCACATTTGAAAGAAGGAAACACTGGGGGGGGGGGGGAGCAGGGCGGGGGGGGGAGCATCATTTCCCAGAAAAAGGAAAACAGTTGAACTCTTCCTTAAGATAGACAGAAAGTGAAACCGAGAAACCAAAAGTGAAATGCTTCATTCGTGTTTTATAAATCTCCCACCAAATAGAATCTACCCTACTCAAAAACAAAAAAACAAAAAAAAAAAACAAGAACCAAAAAACAAAAACAAAGAAAAGTAGGACATTTCACCATCAGGGAATTACTAAATGAGGAAGCTGCCCAGGACCTGAGCGCCAATGCTATGAAATCGGGAAAACTGATTTCGGCCCACTGGAGCCTTAGGAGGGAGAGAGATGCCTTCTTCCAGTCCTTTGTGCTCCTTGGAGAAAGTCTAGGGCCCGTACATGACAAACAGGGGCCACGTCTCATGTATAAATAACCCAGGAACATTTTGTTTTCAATTTCATTGGGAGGGCTATTCCCAGCACAGAGGACTCTGGGGAGATGGGCTAAACCACGGCGGGTCAGTGTGCATTCAGCGAGGGGGCTCGCTGGGGCCCCATTCAGGCCATCTAACAACCATCTCTTTCAGGATCCTCAGCCCCGAGCTCTTTCCTGGAACGACCAACCCAGAAGTTGCATCTCCGGGGTGGACCCCTCCCAGGCACCATGGAGGAGAAAACTCCTTTAGCTTCTAAGGCTGGCCCAGGAAGTCTGGACTGGACCCACCCAAGGCTCTGGTGACAGCCCTGCCTAAGAGGCTCCCTGTCTTCTTTTGAGGAGCCCACCAAAAAGAGAACCTTGTGGCTTCTGTTTTACTGTGATCGATGAAAGAACACTAATGAAATCTCAAATAAAAGCAGCAAGTCAGAGATCCAAGATTGCAGCTGAGGGCTTTCCAATGGTTAGGGAGGGAAAGAAGGGGGAGGGGGGGCAATGGATTTAACATTTTATTTCTTCAGAAGGCGCTGAGGCGCCATCCTACAAAGGGTGGGCAATCGAACCTTCCATTTTGCCCTCTCTGGCTCCCACTTGATCCAGCTTCCCTAATATTCTGCTTATTCTCAGATTTGAGTTCCTGCCTCCAACCTCTTAGAGAGCCAGCCTGCTGTCTTCCTGGATATAGGCACCTAGCCCTCCAGGCTACTACGTCTCCCAGAAGCCAGAAAGTTGGACATGAGGCTTTCTTTCTTTTCTTTTTTTTTTTTTTTGGCCTCCTGCCCTTTTTTTAATGTTTATTTATTCTGAGAGAAAGACAGAGTATGCGCAGGGGAAGGTCAGAGAGAGGGAGACACAGAATCCAAAGCAGGCTCCAAGCTCCCAGCTGTCAGCGCAGAGCCGGATGCGGGGCTCGAACTCACCAACCGCGAGATCATGACCTGAGCGGAAGTCGGACATTTAACTGACTGAGCCACCCAGGCGCCCCTAGGCTTTCAAGTCCCTAGGTGCGTTTTAGATCTATCTAGGAGCTTCTCACCACCACCGCCGCCGCACCCCCGGGCCCCCTCCTACACTTTGGTGTCCTGATTCTGGTTACCTAACAATCAGTCCCCAAAGTTCTGACATCACCCGCTGAACATTCTCACCAGCCTGGACAGCCAGAGGAGCCTATAATGTGGCAGGGAATGATGGCGGGGGAATGAGCCTAGTGGAACAGCCAGGAACTGGTAAGGGGGTGGGGCACGAGTCAGAGTAAAAGTCGGTAACTGGTGGTGACCCTAAGAGGAAAGCAGAAGTATTTGGGTTTTTTAATTCCCCCTAAGTTCCCACAAGATTTCACTGTTGCCCCACATTTCCCCTCCGACCCACATAGGGAATTTCCGATTTCACTTCCCCAAAATTCAAGCGGCCGGAGGGCCTCAACTTCTTTTGTACCCCTTCCCAACCTCCCGCAGATGCAGACTCTTCAGAGAGGCCATCCCTTCTTCCCGAGCATGTCACGGGTCCTCCGCTGCGGTGTCCGTCTTCACAATGCCCAGCCCCACGGGCCTGAGCGGAGCTCGGGCCTCTGGCTGCCGGTCGGATTTTCCCCAGGGGCTTCTTGCTCCCTCCCCAGTCACCACCCCGCCTCGCATGTTCTCCTCCCTCACTCGGCCTCCTCTACTGCCTCCTTCCTCTCTCCTCCTCTCCCAAAGCAGACTGAGAAGAGGGGTAGGAAGCAGTCTCAGGGAAGCAGGGGCGAGGAGGAGGCAAAGAAAGGCTGTTCAGACTGGAGCGAGGCCCCCGGGGTCCGCCGATGCCTCCGGGGATTCTGAGCCAGTGGGGGCGGGAGGGCCGTTCGTGGGGGATGCGCGGGTGGGGCACGCAGCCAGGGAGCTGGAGTCTCGCGGGTGCTGGAAGGCACGTAGGCCCCAGGACCTCTTCGCGCCCAACCCCGGTTCCCCGCCTTCCCAACCGCAGCACGTCTGCGAACTGCCGCGCCGAAGCGGAGGGGGGCGGGGGGCGGTGGGAAACAGGTGCTGTTGCCACGGCACCCGGGCCAGGGGCGGGGAGCGGAGGGCGAGAGGCGCTCGCGATATTTGGAGTCGGCCAATGGGAGGCGGGGGAGGGGAGGACGTGGCGCCGGGTTCGTGGGCGGAGCTCCTTCCTCCCACGCCCAGTTCCCCGCGGCCCGTCGCGGCAGCGGCGGCGGCGGCAGCGCGCGTGCCCGAACGCGCGGCCGGGCCGTATAAAGGGCCACACCGCGAGGCGCGCGCGCCACTCCGCAGAGGGCGCTCCGCGGGCCGAGCCGTGCGCCTGCGCAGTGCGGGCCGCTCCCCGCCCCCCTGCCCCGCTGCCCCTCCGCCGGCCCGCCGGGCCCCGCCTCGGCTCCGCGCCCTCGCCCGGCTCTCAGCCGCCGCTCTGCCCCGCAGCAGCCAGCCCCGTCCCCGGCAGCATGTTCAGCTGGGTCAGCAAAGATGCCCGCCGCAAGAAGGAGCCGGAGCTCTTCCAGACGGTGTCCGAGGGGCTGCGGCAGCTGTACGCGCAGAAGCTGCTGCCCCTGGAGGAGCACTACCGCTTCCACGAGTTCCACTCGCCCGCGCTGGAGGACGCTGACTTCGACAACAAGCCCATGGTGCTCCTTGTGGGCCAGTACAGCACGGGCAAGACCACGTTCATCCGGCACCTGATCGAGCAGGACTTTCCGGGAATGCGCATCGGGCCCGAGCCCACCACCGACTCTTTCATCGCAGTCATGCACGGCCCCACCGAGGGCGTGGTGCCGGGCAACGCGCTCGTCGTCGACCCGCGGCGCCCTTTCCGCAAGCTCAACGCCTTCGGCAACGCCTTCCTCAACAGGTACAGCTCCTTGCCCCGGAGGCGCGAAGGGGGACCCCGGGGGCCGCGCTCTGGTCCACCCCCACCGCCCGTCGTCCTTTGTCTCCTAGGCCCCAGCGAGCCCCTCGGCGACCACTCCCTGGGACACGGGCCCCCTGCCGCTTCGCACCAAAAACTCACCCAGAGGTTTGGGAGTGGGTGTCGCCGCTCCCCCGCCCCCGCTTCTGTCACCCCAGAATTTTCCAGGTTTATCAGTTTAACTACCAAACCTTCCTGCAGATCCTCGCCCTACTTCCCTCGGATCCGCGATCGGCCTTGAAAAGGCCTGTCTCCACCTCCTCCCAAGCTAGTCCTTTCCCCAGACTGGGTGCATCTAATTCATTCATACCGGCCCCTTCCCCTCCTCCCCCTTCTCCAAATGTCTGTTTCTTAAGTGTCATGGAAAAATATGTGAAACTTTTTAGTCATTCCCCTTGCTGGTGTGCTGTGGCTCCCCTGGGACCAATGGTTTTGTGTGGGAGGGACAAGGAAGATCGGCTGTGGCCTGCTGAGTTTGGGGCAGCCCAGGAGGTAGCGAGGTAGCAGACAGGTGGGCTGTGAACACTTCTCTTCGGGGGGGGGGGGGCACAGCTCTAAAGAGTGTGTGCTGCTTTAAGGGGTTCAGGAAGCACCCTCAGACTGTGGCACTACGAGCCCTGGAATGAGATCTGAGCCCTGAATCCCTCCCGAGGAGATTCCTTGACCTACTTGGGCCTCAGTTTCCCCAGTTAAATGGGTGAAATCTGCCTCCTCGCGATCAGGGTTAGCCTCCAAGAGTCCAACCCTCACGATGCTGTGAATGAAATGCACTGGCTTCAGTTCTAAGGCCTGCAACAGCCAGGCTCACATTTCTCTAAAGGAATTCAAAGGCGCTAGTCAGTGATTCTGAAATCCCTCTCCCCACCCCTACCTCCGGACACATACCAGAGGACTTGACAGATCTGCCTTTTCTGCCACCCCCCCCCACCCCCCACTCATTCAAGGAGTGACTCCACATGCCTTTCAAAGTCTGGGTCCTGGGAAGAGCCTAGGAAAGAATCCTTGACTCGTGCCTTCCAGGTCTCCGCCCTGAATGATCACATTCCTTTCCAGACACTGTCCAGCCACACAGGGTGAACCGGCTCACTCCTGATCTTAGCCAGTGGCCAGCCTGCTTCTGTGCACAGAGCTGACCTTTAATAGAAAAGACAGGCAGGCTTCTGTTGTATTATCTTGCCCCTTTCAGTCGTTTTAAGCCTGTCCTCTTGTTTTGTGGTTGATGGCATTCGTGTGTTGCTGGGCCACGGCTAAGTAAAGCTCTTCTTGTGAGAGGCGTGGCCCTCTTAGCGTTGAGCCCCCCTCCTCATAGCCGGTGTTTGGGAATTACTGTCCCTGTAGATAGGCGGTTAGCCCAGACTGTTAGCTGGTGGGCGCCACGGGATCTTGTGGGAAGTTTGGCTGCTGTGCTGGGAATTGCAAGCATTGTTAGGTCTCGACTTTGACCCAGAACTTTAGGAAGCTAGAACGAAGGGTAGCGACACCTACTTCTGTCCTTGGGTCTCCCGCTTCTGATTGTGAGAGCAGAGGGCTCGCTTCGGCAGCACATATACTAAAATTGGGCCAATTGTGAGAGCAGACCGTATTTGAAAGGATGTAACCTGTGTTCTGAATTTGGAGACCTGAAGTTTCAGAGTTGGAGGGGATCGTAGACCTCATCTGGGCAACCCCCATCTCGATGGTTCAGGAAAGCCTGGCCCGGAGGGCTCTGATTGGTCAGGCTCACAGAGCAACTCAATGCAGTGCCAACTGGCCTTCATGCAGCCAGTTACCACCTACTGCTGCTTCTGCCCGAAAAAAAGAGCAGTTCAGGAGTGCCGGTCCCAGACAGGCACTCTGATGACATTGGTGCCACGGGATTCAAGACTTTTTTTTTTTTTACAGTAGGCACCACGGCAACATGGGGCTTGAACTCACAACCCTGAGATCAAGAGTCATATGCTCTAATGATTGAGCCAGCCAGGCGCCCCTTAGTTCATTCTTGCCACTCTCTAGAGGGTTCTTGATCACTGCCGAAAGGGGCCTTATCAGCCAAAGGTCAAGGGGCGTGGGTTTGCACTTGAGCTGGGGCCCCAAGCTGTGTCAGCCCATGGAGTGCACCAAGTGCTACTGGACTCGCCAGAGCATACAGAGGGCGCTCTTCTCTGCCCAACACAGCCCCTTCTGGCACGCTTGAACAGACCCAGTGAGGGGCTCTTGGGAGTCTCTTAAGCATCTACTCTTGATTTTGGCTCAGGTCCTGATCTCAGGGTCATGGGATCGAGCCCTGTATTGGGCTCTGTGCTGGGCATGGATAGAGCCTGCTTGAGATTCTCTCTGTGTGTCTCTGACCCTCTCCCCTGTTCTCTTTCTCTCTCAAATTAAAAAAATAAATAGAGAGAGACCCCAATTGAGTCATGAACTTGACTTTCTGGCCTTTTACCCAGAGTGGCTGCTCTTAGACTCGAATCGGATGGAACTGACCAAGGCAGGGTGAAGTCAGGGTGTCCTAAGAGCATCCTGTGAAGACTCAGTTGTGTAACTGGCACCACCCACTTAGAGCATGAGGTGAAATTGCTGCGTCCTTGTTGGCGAAAAACAAGGTGGTTGCGTGCGCGTGCCACTGCTCCCTCTCTTGTTTTCCGCCCTGCTTCCCGGGCCCTGCAGGGCGTCTTATTCCTGTGTCTTTCAGACGTGAACTTGCTCAACAGTCTCATTGACGAGGCGTTTTTATGTGTGTAACTTCTCGGAGCCAGTTCTACTTCAGATTCTTTGAATCTGGGCTCCTCTCAGGAACTCCGTTCCCCAGCAGGACCCCGGGTCTGGCCTGCAGTTCATTATGGCCGTGCTCCGCTGCCGGCACTGGTGGGGACAAGGTCCAAGGTCTGAGGGTCAGCTGACGCTGCCCCGTTGTGCCGGCAGGCGGCCCCCCTCCCTCTGGCCAGCTGCCCCCAGCCTGGCCACTGGTCACTTGGCGGGGGGTGGGGCCAAAAGGAGAACCTTATCTGCTCAGATTCCTCCTCCCTGTTGGAAAGGCAGCTTTTTAAGCCTGCGTCCCACAGACAAAGGGTCAGTGTTTTCTTTGCTCACAGTATCTTTTTCAGAGGAGTGGCTGCGTCCAGCAAAGAATCTCTGTTATCAGTTGGGACAGCCTCTGGCTGTTCTGGGCTGTTCTAAGTTCAGTGGGGACTCAGGCGCACACACAGCTAAGCCATCATGTCCGTGGCTTCGTGTCCGTGGCTTTGTTCGTTCTTCCTTGGCCTGCTGTGGCTTTCAGAGAACCGTGTCTGTGCTTCCCTGCCCCCCACCCCAGCCCATGTGTCCCCCAGCTGTTACAGGCAGCTGGGTGGGAGGGGAGGGCTGGTCCCAGCAGCAGTAGGAAAGCCCCTCCCTGCCTTCGGTGCATGGAAGTTCAGCCAAGTGGTTGAACATTTTGTAATACGGAGTTCCAGGGTCCCAGCGTCCCCTTCTGTTTCCTTTCTGGAGTTGAATGGTGACCCAGGCCTGTGCACTTTTCATACCGCATCAGCAGCTTGAAAGCTGAACTCCTGAACCCTGGAGACAAAGCTAACGTGGGGAAAGCGCTGATACAGGCCAGTCTGAGCCTCTGGTTGGATTCCCAGTTAAGAGAATGTGCAGCTCCATGGTCACCCCTGGAAACTAAGAAACTAGAAAACCTTAACAGTCTTTGCTTCTGGAAAGGAAGGCGGAGGTGGGGCGGAAGGGGTACGGAGAGGGCCCCCCCCCCCCCGCTATCCCATCTAGAGCACCGATGACCGAGTCTTGACGTGTCTCTTCCGGGCTCTTGCTCTGGTGCAGGTTCATGTGCGCACAGCTGCCCAACCCAGTCCTGGACAGCATCAGCATCATCGACACTCCCGGGATCCTGTCCGGAGAGAAACAGCGCATCAGCAGAGGTAATCAGGCTCCGACACAGCCCAGGTCACCTTCCATCTCATATCCGTGATGACGTGGACCGGATGCTGCCCTTCTGCATCAGCCTCATGTCCGCACAGTGTGCTGAGTGTGGTGCGGTTAGGAGCTGCTCTCTCCCTTGGCTGCCTCTGCCCGGGTAGCTCCGAGCTGTATGGGGCGGAGCGCAGCCAATTTCGTGTGCCTTTCACGCTTTCCAACCCCTGGGGCAGCTGAGAAAGAGGGCAGGTTTGCGAGGTGGCACCTTACGCTGGCTGCGAGGGCGCGGGAGGCCACTCCGGGTCTGGGCTCCAGGTACCTTTCCCTGCACGGCCGTTCTGAATGGGCCTCTGGCCCCGCTGGGGCTCACTCAACTTAGTTTATGTTTAAAAGCTTTGCTCCGAATGTCATATGAATGAATTCCTGGCAAGCCCAGCAGGTCCGGGAGAGAACAGTGGACGTGAACAAGCGAGCCCAAAGGAGGAGGATTCTGTGAAATGTTTCGGGCTATTGGACATGTGCTTAAGTTTGCTTCAGCATTCATCGGCAGCCCCGCTGGGCACCGTGTGTGCTGGAACATATCCGGGCCGAGTGTCAGCAGCGTTAGCGTGCCAGGCCCCTAGTTGTGCATTCCTGCCTCGGTCTTGCCGAGCTTTTCCGAAGATCTGCCTCAGGACGAGGCTGAACCGCCTTACGTTTCTGCTGCTGCTCCTTTTTACGACTGGGAAGGGAACTGCTGAGGGCAGGCTAGGAGTGGGGCCTGTGGCCGCAGATGTGCAAATGAAATAAGACAAGTGAGCAGATTTGTTTATCGTTCACTAACTTGCAGATCTTTCCTATGCCCCTTTCCCTCCCAGGTGGCCCAGTAGTGGTGAGCTTTGCATTTGGACCCAGAGGCCTGATATTGGGGGATTTTTATCTCTGCTGTGGCTCTGAAGGGGGATGGGAGCCCTGTTCTTGGTCCTGAGAAACCTCGCTTCCCTTTTTTTTTTTCTAGGCCGTGGGCCCGGCCTAAAGGGCTTGCGTCAGAGCATCCTGGAGCGGCCCTGTCTCTATCTATCAGTCTGGTTCCAGCATTCAGGTCCTGCACCCTGATGATCAAGATACTCCCAGGAGTTGAAGGGAGCAGCTTGGGGGCCCCTTCTAAAAAGGCGAGGGTTTAGGGGCACCTGGCTGGCTCAGTCACAGGAGCGTGTGACTCTTCATCTCAGGGTCGTGAGTTCGAGCCCCACGTTGGGGGTAGAGATTACTTAAATAAATATTTTATTTTATTAAAAAAAATTTGTTTAATGTTTGTTTTTAAAAGAGAGTGAGTGGAGGAGAGGCAGAGAGAGAGGGAGACACAGAATCCCGGCTCTGAGCTATCAGCACAGAGCCCAACACGGGGCTTGAACTCACAAACTGTGAGATCAGGACCTGAGCTGAAGTCAGACACTCAACCTACTGAGCCACCCAGGTGCCCCTTAAATAAATATTAAAAAAAAATTAAAAGGCAAGGGCTAGATTTTCCTCTCACTGCTGTTGTTGTTTCAACCTGGTTGGGAGAAAATACCTGATAACATGAAAGGGAAAGACCAAACCAGGGGGAATTTATTCTCTGTTCACTTCCAGGCCTGAGTTCTCCCAGAGGGACTTTCTTTGAGGCTCTGTCGTGTTCTCTTTTTAATGACCTGGAAAAGTAGGTAGATTGGGGGCCATCAGACAGAGAACTAAGGCACCTCTGGGTGGCCACCTCTCCGTCCCAGAGGTCAGCTGATGTGTACACACCTTCGGATGGGGACAGTAGCTCACAGAGGTTTATCTTCTCAGCAGTCTGTGCTTACCTACGGCCTTCAGAGCTTGGAGTTAAGGTATTTGAGGGAAAGGGCTTAGGGTTCTTGTGACCCCCGTTGTCTTACTCGTAAAAGGGATCTCAGATCCCATTGCTTGCTTGCTTGCTTTCTTAATGTTGGTTTATTTTGATAGAACGCACGTGCATTCGAGAGTGAGTGGAGGGAGGGGCAGAGAATGGTGGTGAGAGAGAATCCCAAGCAAGCTCCTCGATGTTAGTGCAGAGCCCGACTTGGGGCTTGATCCACGAACCATGAGATCATGAGCCGAGCTGAAACCGAGTTGGACACATAACCAGCTGAGCCACCCAGGCGCCCTGACAGACACCACAGAACCTCATGGTGCTGTGAGGTTCCCCTGCTGGGAAGAGGGTCTTTGACACTTCAGCCTGTGTCCTAAGAGCTCGGCAGGCCGACACGTGGGGAGAGGGTGTCTTGCAGCACCGGGCACCCTGGCCCTGTCTGCCGAACTGTCTCCCTCCCCTGCCTCCTTTCCCTGTTAGCAGAAAGGTGGGCACTGGTGTCCAGATGGGCTCTCTGGGACAGGCACCACCGTGCCTCCCTGTGCTCTCCAGTTCATGGGTCGGCAGACATAAGGTGCACTCTGCCTGGGGGTCAGCAAGGATGCAGGGGTGCGAGGCAGTCCCCGCCCACAGGACGCCCATGCAGGTGGCAGATACTTGGAGGAGGAGGAGGCCAGCAAGAGATGCCAGGGCTCACCCCTGCTTACCTGGCGCCCTTCCAGGTGTGAGACTCGGCCCTTTTCTGTCCTGGAGCAGCCACAGAGGGCCTCCCCCACCCCATCATGGACAGGAAGGAGGAGGGAGCCTTAAAGAGAAACACGTTCCCCTGGGCACCTGGGGTGGCTCAGTCAGTTGAGCATCTGACTTACGGCTCAGGTCATAATCTCGTGGTTCGTAGGTTCGAGCCCTGCATCGGGCTTTGGGCTGATAGCACAGAGCCTGCCTGGGATTCTCCCGTCTCCCTCTCTCTGTGCCCCTCCCCTGCCAGTGCGTGCTCCTGCACGTGTGCGCCCGCGCTCTCTCTCAAAGATAAATATTTTTTTAAAACACTTAAGAAAGAAAAAAAGAGGCTCATTGCTCTAATTGGAGGAGGACTTCCTCCTGTGAAAGTTTCTTTCCCTCTGTGATCCTAGATATCTTGGTTTCAAGTGGTTTCAAGTGTTTTACTGAAAGTTTCCAAGTTAGCGTTTCCTCTGCGCTGTTTGGTGTCTGTGTTTTAGCAGCTGGAGAGAGAGAGAGGCCCTCGGGCCGTACATCTCAGATGTGCTGCCTGTGGTCTTCACCGGAGGTGACCGTTCGCTGGACGGGGAAGGAGTGGACTTCTTCTAGGAGGCCCCACCCAAAGGGCCCGCGTTGCCCCGTCCAGCAGAGGAAGTCAGTGTGGGGCCGTGCGGTTCCAGGCTCCCCGGCTGGTCGCCTGTCTGCTCCCTTTGCTGACGGCATGGAAAGCAGGTGTTTCCCTCTCGGAAAGATAGGGCCAACAGAAATCACGGGTCCTGGGCAGGCAGCACGCGCTTCTGTGTCCCGCCGACCTGGTTTTCTGGAAACAGAAGGGGCTCCTGGAGATTGCACGTTCATGGCAGTTGCTAATTACATTTGCTTGCATTTCACACCCTATCCGCCCGGCCCCTCTGGGCTTCTCCCCACCCCGTTCCCCGTGGTGCCTAATGTGTGCAGGAAGTACTGCCTGGAAAGATAACTAGGGCCTGTGCAGGCCCACAGCAGTCAGGGGCCAGGCCAGGCTCTGCTAGAGACCCCTGAGAATTACCACGGGGAAGACAGGGGGCCTCCGTGGGGGTCTCTGGCTGCACCTCCTTGTTGTGCTAATCTGACCCGCTTTAAAGATCATGTTCTCCTGCGTCAGAGGAGAAAGGTGGCCTGTGGGGACAGCGTTCGTTCTTTAGTGCTGTGTGACTGATAAAGGGCATTCCAAAGGGCACCCGGGACCCAGTGGGGCTGGCGCCGTTGGCTCCCAGACTGTTGCCCGCCTGGACGGTCACGCGCTGGAATGGGGTTTTCCCACGCGGGTGTTTTCCATGGTGGGCAGCGGCGGGCAGCACACTCAGGTGGAAGTCAGCCTGGGGGTCGGGCCCGGCCAGGGTACCCCCTCCCCTTGTCACTGCACGGCTGAGAGCTGGCCATAACTTTGGTGCCTTGGTTTCCCCCGCGTGAGTCATGTCAGCAGGAAAGTGTTCCTTGGACTTGGGTGGGGAGAACACTGCCTGGCCGGCCTCGTGCTGGCCTTCTGCAAACCATTGCCGCCTTAACCCGCTCCCCTTCGTTATCACACAGCTGCGTCGGGGAGGGCGCTGCCACTCTTCAGATGAGGAGACAAAGGCTCGGGAAAGTCACGCAGCTGGTGCAAGGCGACACAGGTGGGCGTTTGTCCACGGGCCCCGCAGAAGCTATGTCGCACCACCCAGTGCTGAGAGCAGACATTCTGCCGCCAAGGAGCACTCGCAGCTCAGATCGGGCAAGACTTTGACCCCATTGGGCCATGACCGTTCAGGGCTTCTGAGCTCCCCTGATATGCCCAGGGGCCACCTTCTGTGTCTGTCTCGGCTTGAAATCAGACTCTGAGTCCAGAACCTGAGGTCCAGGGCTTAGACCAACAATGCTGGGATTTCCTTTTCCCTGTTCTCTGCCTCCAGCCAGAAATGGTCCCCCAGACCGTCTGTGGGTGAGCACTAGGACCTCGGCCGAGGCTGGCGGGTCCCCTGGCCTCTCACTTGCCCTCCCTGCTGGCTGCCCCTGGTTCCCAGGCTCCATATCAGCCTGGAGCCATCTCAGTAGGCAGGTAGGGCATCCCAGGCCCAGACCCAGAGAACTCTGACTCGGGTGGGGCCGCGCTGTGGGCACTCCTCCCTTCCTGCCTACCCTTGTGCTGACTGCCTTCTGAGGTGCCTCCACCTAGAAGCCCTCCAGGTCAGGCCGAGTACTGCTTCCTGGGTTCCCAGCACCCACAGTTCAGATAATGACGGAACGTGCAGGCCCCAGCTCAGTACGCCAGGGGCTGGGTTCCCTAGGGAGTTACAGCAACCCTTCCTGGGAGCCAAGTCCATAAAACGGGAACAGCCATGCCATCATCCTTGTTGATAAATACAGGGATCTGTGTACGTTAACCTCTTGCCCTGGTACCTGGGGCCCAGTTAC